AGCAGGGAGGAGGAAGGGGCCGTCCCGAAGGCGCTGGGTGGGGAGGCGGGGGAGAGCCCGCTCTGTCTGCGGTCCCGGCACGGAGCCTCCCGGTCGCTCCCCACCCGCGTTGTGCGCAGCCCGCCTCTCCGGGCCGGTGGGCGCTGAGGGGGGTCCCTGGCGTCGGGCAGGGCGGGGCTGCGCGCTCCCCCGACCCCACGGGAGAGGAGGGGTCGGGAGGCCGAGTTCTGGGGTCCCTCCCTGGTACCTGTGGCCCTGCTTCCCCAGGCAGTGGGGCCCGGGAGCTGGCTGAATATGTGTGTGTGTGTGAGGGAAGGTGGTGGTAATTTTGAATAAACAGGATGTTTCTCAGTCTCCAGTCCTAAAGGTCACTTAAATTGCCCCTTGGAGTTCCTCTTCTACTTTTCTTGGGTAAACTTGTAACCAACGTTAATTGATAGTAGTCTTCCATGTATATAAACACTTTTTTTGAATTAAAATACTCTGCTCTTTGGAAGAAAAGGGCCAGAAGCTGTGTTGATGAACAAGTAAAGATTTCTTTGGAGTATTTTTGGCCAAGAGGGAACTGTTGGATGTTTTATTAAAAAACATCCTTAATTGCTTGGGATTTTTCTGTAAAACTAAATCGTATGGGGTGTTTTTAACTGATCTCACTTAATTTCTGTGCAGGTCTATGGTCTTGTATATTTTCCTTTTAATTTCTTGCTGTTCTATGTAAAGCCATTTGTGTTTATAAAATTTGACACAACTTATTTGTTTAGTAGAGTGTGTGTATATTCATCTGTATTCTGGTTTTCTTTCTATGCAGCTGGATTGAAAATCATCTGGAGGAGAAACACATTTCACATGTGAAGCTGTTCACTTTAGAATGAAATGAGTTATCTGTCTTGAATGAACTTATTTCTATGTAATTTCATTTAGACTGCTTAATACAGACCATGCCTAGCAGAATGGGCTCCAAAATTCATTTGAACAAAGACTTCATCAGAGTAAAAACACACTATAGCGGGTAAGTCAGCATGTTCTCTCCTCTGTATTGTGTCCTGTCTAATTTTGAAGCATGTTGCGCAGGAGTTCATAGTCTGACCTAGTGATAGAGTAACCAGGGCATTGGTGGATTTGTAATTAATGTCAGATCAGGTAGGTAAACTTCTGGGCTATTAGAATGCCGTCCAGACTCCTGCAGCATGCTGACTGTGGAAGAGAGTTGATTCTACTCTTGAAAGGGGGGGGAAATGTGAAAAAAATGACATACAGTTATTTTGAGTTGATGGGTTATTGATTTCTGTTGTGTTACAAATGTTTGTGGTCACAGACAGGTATAGATCCATCTCTTGCATCCAGATGCAGTTACTACATTTTATCGTATCTACTTTATAATAAAGATATGATAAGTCTTACATAACGAACTCTACAAGTTACTGCTGAAATTGGGAGGAGACTATGAAGTGCAGGTTTCCAGTTACAGATATCAGTTTGTGACTGTGTGCTCCCTGGGACAAAACGTGTAATGTTTAATACGAGTCCTTTTCTCGTGGGGATTTTTAGATACTATTTTAACTTACACCACTTTCTGTCTTGGAAACTTAGAGGAGGTGTTCCTTTGTGGATAGATATTAAGTCTTGAAATAAGAAGTGAGTGCCATTGGTTTTGTCCTTTTGTTTGTATTATAGAATTTTTAGAAGGAATTATTATTGGAATTATTCAGGTAAATATAAAAAATGAGTGAATTTTGCTTAGACTGCAAATTATCAGTAAATTTGAACCTATGCGAGCTGCTTGAAGACTCGGTTTTAAGTGATTAAAAAGTAAATCAAACCCACAATGTTTGTTTTCCTGTTGTGAATAAATACTAAAAGTATTGTGTACTAGATGCTGGTATAGTTTGCCCTTTAATTTTTGATAGCTGATTGCTCTGCTCCCCTCCCAGTAATTTGACTAATGCAGCTTGAGGGGCAATGAAATGTTAACACAGCTGCTTCGGTTATCTTCACAATGTTTATTTTTGCAGCTCTGATTTAAGATAATACTAAAAAAAAAAAGTCATGGTCCTTTATGACTTCAGTCAGTTGTCAGTACAGGCAGGAAGATTTTTATTACTTCAGTATGAAATTTGGTTTTTCAGACATGTTTAATCTGTTTGCTGCTACTGTGAGGACCTTGTAAATTCATGTTGCTTTGGTCTCTCCTGTCTTCCTCCAAGGCCTAAGTTTTAAGTCATTTGAGGAGTTAAATATTTGGCCTAAGTAAATCCTTAGACTTGAAGTATTCAGGCTGCACTTACTGGGATTTGATAACTGACCTGAGTCGTCTTTTCTGATGTTTTACTGCTAAATAAGTAAATACTGCTGCTACTGTGGTTCTTACATTGTGGTGTAGAAAAATGCTATTTTGAATTTAATGTAATGTAATTATGAAAGTCACTCCACCAAATTTTGTTGAAAACAAAATGCTTTCTTGTTAAATTTACCTACCAGGTCAATGCCAAGTAGTTTGAGGCCCTGAGTTTAGAATTCTAGAGCAATTGTGTTAATTTTGTAAATGCCAGTTTTCTCATAAATTAGTATGAAAATGTAGCTTTTTATTTTAGCTGCCTTCAATTTCTAGCTGTGCTGCTGACTTTAATTCTTTCCTTATGCCTAGTCATTTGGTTTTTGTCTTCATTTTTCCACCTGTAAATTGAAAGTCTAGTAGAATCTGTTAGTTTACAGTTCATTTATTTACAGCTTAAATTTTCATACGAAAATGTGCTTAGTAGAAACATAGATAAGCTTTTAGTGGTGAGAATTCATGTCAAAGCTTGTGTCTTAACAAAATACAGAAATTTGCTGCTTTACTTGAGCTAAAATTTACTTTACAAGAAATCCATGTATGAAAGTAAACGGGGCTGTGTGCTGTGGCTCACTGTTACTGCTGCTCAGTAATTTCTGAAATGTGTTCATAATAGTTAATGCAGATCAGCTGGGTTTTGTTATTCTTAATCTGCACCATGGTTTTTTTTGGTTAATAGATGCATGTAAACTGCTTTGAGTTCTGTGTGAAAGATTCGTATCATATATTTGCCATTACTAATAATTTTCTGCTCCATAGTTTTATCCTACACCTCCGAATCACGTCATTCATAGGCTTAAGTTGAAAAGAACATCTGAACTTCAAATGCTTGTGTGATGCGCTCCTCTGAGATGCATGGATATGCATGCTTCTCCGAAACAGCAGTAGGAGAGCTTCCTTAGCTCTGTAAGGGAAGGCACTATAAACACAAATAGAACTTAGTTTGGGATTAACAGTTTGGGATAGCTTGCTGGCAGATAGTGTTGATTCAAAGGGAAGGGAGTGTGGCTGTAAACTTGTCTGCACAGAAATGGAGGAGGTGATAATACTTGTGTCACTATTAGAATTCGTGTAATTATTATGATGTTTTACAATAAACTACTACTGTAGTTTCTCCTGGAACACTATATTCAGTGATTTCCAGTAGCTGTGAAGTCTATAATATGTCAGTTTACAAAACAAGGGTTCCAAAGTCAGTGAATTTTGTTTTTGTTCTACTGATCAAATTCTGTGAGTAAGAGCTGGCTATTTTTGGCATTATAGACTGTATAACTGATTATCTCCATATCTCCATTAAAGTACTATACTCATCTTTTGAACAAATTTGACAAACTGAAGGAAATCATTGATGCTGAACAGCTTCATAATTAAGGACAGGCTCATTCAGGTAGCTGCTAAAAAATTAAATAATACAATATATCATTTTGAAATCCCAGTTAAAAATCGAAGCATGAGGAAGTTCTAAAACATGCGAATGTTGAGTCTGTCTCTGTGGAGTCCTAGTATCTTAGGTATTCGCGTTTCTGGGTGTGACAGAGTTCCTAACATAGCATAGTATAAATAACTGCATAAGTAGATTGCAAAAGAAAGTAAACTTATGTAGTTCTCATTTCATTATTTCAGTTGCTTAGTTTTTCTGGTTTAAACCTGGTTACTTGAAATCACCTCATTTAAATAGAGCAGTGATGCAGTATTATTTGCTGTATGTGACCTTGGTTCTAAATGGTGACACTTAGATTACATTACAAATGTAATCTATCAATGTGAATGATTCTCTTGCTATAACTGCTCATACATAGCTTACTGGTCATTAGTTCTTCATGTTACTTTGTAGTATCCAGTTTCAATACCTGACAAAAGTTTCCTGTGGGATTCTTTAGTGTTAAACAGTGAATGATTTTCATTTATCTGTGCCCTGATTGCCTAATGTGGCTATGCAGACATTAAGATTAAACACAGTAAATCTCAAAGGAACATGGACATCACTGAGGAGATACTAATTTCAATAAATATCATTAATGTTTGCATCTGCAGTAGGTGCTATTTAGTGTACTTTAGCTGTGTTTTGTCCAATGTGAAGTTTATTAATTTACCTGTAGAATGGTAGTGCCATCTGTTATAATAATTTTGACAATTTAAGGCTGATTAGTATTTATCAGCTTTACTTGGAGTTTGTAGTGTGCATGGTAGAGCATTGCCTTTACTGCATAGTTTCAGTTTCTGAGTATTATTTAGATACTTGTGAAAGGGTGATTGTCCAGAGTTACCACAGATCTATAGCTACTTGATTTCATGGGTAGCTTGTGGTGGCAGTGCGTTAAGTAATGAGCTGCATTTGTTAGTGACCTTCTCTTGGTGCAAGGCATTGTACCAGACCTCAAACACTACTTTGAGAACTGGTTTGGTCTCTTACTTTCATAAGTGCATAAAGTATGACTTTTTTGACAGGGAGATGTTCTGAAACTCAACCTCACCTGATAGCTCTCAGTATTGTACAAGAATATAGATTTACAAGTTGGCAGTTAGCATACATATTTCTTTTTCCATTTTATTATGGAGAATTAAGTTGCTGTTCTTTGAGAACTTAACAGATTGTAGATTAAAGGTACACTTGAAAAGGTAGCCGTGCTTTTAATCTGAATTTGAAACTTAGTACAAGTCTTTAAAGTGATTGTTTTAGAGCTTTGCTTGCTGTAATTTTTCTCAGCAAAGGCAAAATGCAAAGTTATTAGTGCATATCATTTAAAATGTAAGTTGTAGAATTTAAGGTTCTTATTTCAGTATAGTACCTTAGGCTTCTGGTTGAAAGACATAAGTATGCAAAATATGTAATATAATGTTTTCTAAAATGACTTGTCACAGTATGAAACTAGAAAACTATCGCAGTCATGTTGGGAAACTTCTGATATACTTACTGTATTAAACTAAGAGGGGAAAGAATTATGTATGCCAGTAGCCATTAATTACAAAACTTTTTCCTAATTATCCCCTAGAAGGTTTTGAAAGCACTGAGATGACTTAAGTACATCTCCTCTTTCTTCCTGCACTTGTGCAGTCATAGTGGATGTGAGGAAAAACCTACATTTTGAAAGGATTTTACAGTAATTGAGATTTTACTTGTCTCCTGATTCAAGAATACCTAGATAAAATTTAATTCCTACAAAATCTTATGCTTTTACACCACTTCAAATGCTGATAGTTATAATAAGGGAACTTGACTCACCCAAGTAAATGTGTATTAAAGATAGATCATTAACACAGTTAATTCCTCCATACTAAAGTATTTTTAAAGAGTTAAACACTGATGTAATCCTGTTGGCTTCTGGCAACTAATTTACGTTAGTGGGAGCATTTTATGTGAGGAATGGTGCTTCTGTAAGTATGATTTTGCAGCTTAGAGTCCACAGATGGAATTGTTGGAATATGCAGGCTAATGCAGATATTTTCTGATAAAAGCTGATGTTTTCATCTTGTGCAGGGACATCCTGATAACAAACTTGGATGCATCAATGAGCTATGATGAACTTTGTGATGAAGTGCATGAGATGTGTAATTTACAACAGGAACAGCCAATTACCCTCAAGTGGATTGATGATGAAGGTATTGTACTGAAATACAACTTGGGCATTCTTGGGTTTATTGTTCATTGTGGTACAAAGAAGGGGCGTTGAGGAAACTTGTATAAACAAGTTTCATATTGTGGAGTTAATTTTTGTTTCTAAATACCAGGGTACATAACCCTGTCTTATAAAGCAGGGAGCTTGGAGAAATGAGCCTCAAAACATGAAGGTTGATTGCAGCAACACTTGAATTCACTTCTGTAGAAGTGAAGGCTTTGCAGAATTTTAATATTTTACTATTCCATACTCCTATGCTGAGTGCAAAGTTTAATTTCAGAGTTTCGTAGGCTTAATGCTGTACCCCTCAAAATTCTCAATTTCAAACTCTTGGCAAGATCACTTTTTGATGGTTTTAACCCTGTCAGCTTCCAGAATGACATAGGCATTTGTGTCTTCTGGATTGTGATTTCTCTCTTGAATGAGTGTGTTTCTGAGAAGCAATGCAGCTGTAATATCAGAAGACTGTTTTGAATTCCATGATTTTTGTATTTTATGCAAGAATTCCAGTAATGGTAACTGATTTTCTCTGTTCATGGTGGCTGTCCCTGGCAACTGCATGATTGTCACCGATTGTGGTGTTGATTATATTAATGGTCTCACATAACCTCTTCAAGAATTAGAGGGTGGATGTTGTCTGTATTTAAATGAGCATTCTACTAAACTGGTTGTTAATATCCTGTTGATGTAAAATACAAAGACCAAACATGAAATAAAGGCGACTTGAATTTGGTTTTGTTTTTTCCACTTGACTGATACTTCAGAGTACCATTTTTCAAAGATAATAGGCATTAAATAAGAACATGTCAGAAACAACTTGTTTCCCCATTGTGGTGGGGAAAAATGCCCAGTATATCTAAAGTAAGTCATGTCCAGAAAAAGAAAAGGGGGAGGAGCGGGGGGTGTTATATGTGGGCAAAATAGTGTAAACTTTTACTTTTGTGGAATGTGGGGTTGATAAAATAATGTAAAAATGTTTTGGTGTGAAAGTCTGTTTCTTACGCTGTTCCTGCAGGAAAGGTTGATGTTGCCAAATCTCATTGTTCTCAGTTATCTTCAGATGTAAAGCAGGTTATCATGGTTCTTCCACAAATAGCTGTATGTGAGAGAAACTTACCTTTTCTTTACCCTTCCTATAGGCTCTGAAATAATGGCATGATGTGAGATGAGATGGGCTTGCCTATTTCTTTCTGCTGTAAAATGTGACAGTTCTCTGAAGCCTTAAGTTAGAGCCTTCTGGTTGTTGTGAGTAGTAGTGGAATGGGCATACTTAGCACTGAGTGCCTTTGCTACTTTTTTGCTTCCTTTTGGAATGTACATGTCTGCTTATGATTTAACAGGAGTGTAGTGCATCTGTAACTCATGATGGGCAGACCTCTTGGCCTAGTAGGTTGAGAACAGCTACCGTGCAATTGTACAACTGCACAGGTGCTTGGTTATTTTCCTGTTGCACCTTGCCAAAGCCATGGTCTGCAGTGGAACTTCTAGAACTGAATGCAGAAAGATGAAAAAATACTAAATTGGTTTGGCTAACATTTGTAATTGTGTTTCGTTTTTTTTTAGTAATAGCCTGTACTACTCTCTTAGCCAAGCAGTATGTTTTGGTGGGTGAATGGAATATCAAAATAATGATTGAGGAAGGAGGTAGTAAAAGAAGATTCAGTCCTTTTAAGATACTGAGGACTGGTATCAATTAGTTTTAAATTTTGCTCTTCTGATTACCAGGAAGGACAGAGGCAACTGTACTGACTCCAGTTTCCTAACTCTCAGTTTCATGGCAGTCTAACAAAAAGTAACCTGATCAGAAGTGCGTGGAGAATAATTACATTGCATGTGCTTAGCTATTTGAACTGCATGACTGCTAATAAAAGGGAGATTATTGTAGGAAAGAAGAAAACCTCATGAGTTTTGTGTTGGAGAATTTTAAGACATGATTCCTGTTAACTGTTTCTTGGTTTGGATATCTGTTGCATTGGCTTTTTGAGGTTAAAACAACAAATTTCTTTTTAGTTGCAGTTCTAATAAGCGTTTTCTTCTAGTCTTGGTTAAATACATACCTGTACAATCCTTTTTCTAATTCCTGATTCTAAGCTGCTAAGTTTCAACCAGTCTGCTGTTTTGGCTGCCCGCAATCCTCACAGGTTTTGAGTTATCCTTTTTCTGCATATTTGCACTTATTGCCACAGGTAATGTAAATTCATTTGACTGATTGCACAAACAGATGTTCTCTTTGAACTAACTTAAAGCAAACAATTGCTGATGGCTTAATGGATTAAAGAGAACCTACCAAAGAGTTGAAGAAAATTAATTTTCTCTTGGGCTTTTCTAGTGTTTCTCTGGTTTTGACAGGATCCAAAATGTTTGAACTATGAATAACTCATAATAAAATCCCATAAACACATAAGGAGTATGGATTGTTGATTTGCAGTACAAATGATTCTTTTGTCTTTCATGTTGCATTATTGCAGTATTTCTAGATCATCAAGAGCAGTGGCCTTCAAAGAGGGGTATATGCACTCTGGGGTGCATATTTTAAAAAAAAAAGAAATTAAGCTTTACTTGATGTAATATGTGGGTCGACAGTGGTGTCATCGCTTGGCCTGTATATCATATGGTCATGTGTCACATATGGTGGGCAAGGTGTGCTGAGGGAAGAGTGGGTGTTCCACAAAGTTGCAGGGGTTGAGAGCGATACCCTCACTCATTTGCTCGCTTTCAGTGTATTGTGATGTACTGCAGTTCATGTGTGCCTGTGTAAGTGGATTTATGGACTAATTGTCTAGCTTTAACTAAAATAACCCTCATAAGGTAACAGTAATAATGTGAGCACAAGCAGACAACAAGAAAATGGTGGAGCTGACATTTCTCCTAAGTATGAACTCTGTCAGCCCCACTACCAGGTGAAAACAATGACTACCTAATCAGATCTGACAAGAAGTCAGTCAAAAAGATTCAGAGGTATTGAGAACTATTTGAAATACGTGTTTACATGCACTATTTTTAATGATGAGCCTCACCCTAAGAGTATGTTGTATTTTGAGATAGTAATGATAGTGTGAAGCCATCATGATTAGAAAGACATTTAAAAACTAAGTATTCAGAACAAGACAAACCTCTACCTCTTTTTTTCACCGATGTTTTAAGTCCTGTGATACTCAATTTGGTACTTTACAAAACTTCAGTAAACTTAATGTTAAATTTTTAGAAGCCAGTTTTGAGGCTTCTTACTTAATAGCAGAAGACAAAAAGCCACATACCATTGGGGAAACACCTGTTCTTCCTGTCATGGTAAATATGGCTGGAATAATGTACAAAAACCAAGATGGGGACAAACTGAAATGCATTCCTTTGTCAAAAAATACTGTTGGAAGATGCATAGAAGATACTGCTGAAGGTTTGAAGAAACAAGTATTAAAACAAACTGTGCAGTGTGGGAAGCTTGCTGTATGGTTGGATGAAAGTACAGATGTTTCTAACATGTCTCAGCTTATGGTATTTGCTGGATTCTGTTTCAATAATGAGATATGTGAAGACGTAGTTTTTGTGAGTCACTGAAGGAAAGAAAGGTGTACTGGAAAAGATACAATCTGAACAGTAAGTGACTTCAATAAAAACAATGTGTTACAGAAAAACTGTGTAAGTCTCCACTGATGGAGAGGCTGATTTGACTGGAATAAAAAAAGGATTCTGGGGTAAGATTACAGAGGGAGCACCGCACGTGAAATTCATCCACTGCATCATTCATAACCAAGCTGTTGCAGCAAAGGATTTGGAGCCAGAAGTGCACTGGCTGCTACAGGATGTCATCAGTGTGATTAATTTTATAAAACCAAGAGCTTTAGGTAGTACAGTGTTTACAGTGCTTAGTAATAAGTTGGAGAGTGACCATGAAACTCTTGTACCTCGCAGAGGTTAACTGGGTATCTTGCAGCGAAGTGCTTAAAAGAGTTGTTGAACTTAAAGATGAGTTATGCATTCTTCTTTTACAAAAGGATACATATTCCAAATATGTGGACATTATCTGTGATGACAAGTAACTGTCAGTAGGATGCTACCCAGCGTTTTTTTTAAAAAAAAAAAAACAAAAACAAAACACTCAATCCCAATGACTGACAAAGTAACTGCTTTTCAAAAGGAACTCATGCTATATGGAGAAAGCATTTTGAAAATGGCTATTTGGAGATTTCTGTTGTTCCATCAGTACACTTAAACTTGGAAACAGATTTTTCTAACCTGTTAAAAATTCTTCCAAACAGTTTCAGTGGGTTTTGAACCCATTAGTTCAAAATGTGACATGTTGAGATTAGCTTGCAAGAGCAGCCGGTTGACATCAGGGAGGATGAAAAGTTACTAACTGAATGCCAACAAAACCTTTGCATAAATGGTGGATGGGATTGAAGAATGAGTATTATGATTTAGTAAGCACAGCCAATGATGCACTTCTGTCATTTGGATCTATGTATCTTGGTGAGGTAGCTTTTTTTTAGCTATGACACCATTAAAACTTAGTGTTGAAATAAACTGAGCTTAGAACCAGACCTTTGAATCACTATCATAAAATGTTAAACCAAGACTTTCAAAAGTCGTGAAGCATGTTTAATCACATAGCTCTACCCAAAAATATTTTTAATTTCTAATATTTTGAGGTAAGTTTTTGTACCACTAATAAAAATATTTTAATTTTTTATTTCTCATCCTTCTAAAATTTCTCTCTTTGTGTATGTTTTTACAATATATATATAAAATTATAAATATACATATTGGGGGTTTGTGCTCAAAAAATGTTAATGATGGGATGTGCTGTCAAAAAAGTTTAGAGACCACTGATCTAGAGGTTATGATGGGCTGTTAAAACAGTATTTCTGTCTACCAGAGAGGTATTCCTGTATTATCTTCCAATTCAGATGTTTAAGTAAAAATGTCCTCGCTTAAACTCATTAAGATTCATATCTTGGAAAGGTCATCTTCTGAAATACTGGTCTCAGTGGTGCATGTGTTCTGGCTTAGCTTCCAGTTCTTCAAGAAGCTTTTCCAGTGCTTTTTCTCTGGCACCAACAAATGAATTTGGTGTGTTTTTTATGGAACATCACTGATGCGTCATATCGCGACTTCCAAATCATACTGAAGTCCATTCTGTTAGCTGAGGAGCCGTCTTTGAGCTGTCTCTCGTTCAGAGCTTCAGAGAAATTGAGTTCTTTATTTTCACTGTTTAAAGGCTAATGTCCATACCACAGGTAGTTTTAGTCTTCCAAATATAACTAGTTAATATAATGTTTTTGGGGTGCTCTGGTCTGACTGAATACTTGCATTCTTGCATGTTTTATTCATATGAAGCTAACGGTATATGTCATAATAAATGTAACATGGTGTGGATAAGGGATGGTACTTGAGCCGGGTCAGAGTGTGTTAATGCTCGTGTCTCCATTTTATTTTATTCTTTTCCCTGTGAATTTCATCCTGAATGATATCTTGTAGTTTGGGGTGTGGGGGTTTTCTGTTCTATCTATTTCAGTAGTTAGGCTCTTTAGAATGTGCTTTAAATTGCAGCTGGCATATTGCCTTTTTGAGAACTTTTAAAAGACGCTCCGTTTGTTGAATCTGCTACTACAGAATGTGAGTACAGAAGACAAAGTCATAGAAACTAAGGCTTGATATATCTTCTTCTGAAAGACAGAGGGTTGTTTGTGGCTAGGCAGGTTTCATGGTTTTTTCCTTCTGTTTGCTTTTCTTCTAAGTTAAAAGGAAATGTGAACCTATTTTCCTCAAAACATACAAGCCAGCCCTGAAAATTTTAGATACTTTTAGAGAGAAATTAATTTTAATTAATTATATCTCTACATCACTGTTGGCATATTTATATCCCATCCATGACTTTCATCTGTGTATCTTATTTTTTTACACTTTTTAATCATAGATTGCTTTTCTGTCAGTCTATCAAGAGAGACTCAACTAGAATGTGTGTACCTTCGTAACTTCTAAGTTATCATGGTTCTGCAGTCGGTGAATTTAAGGTAGTAAGATAATGGGCCTTTTAACAAATGGTAAATTAATTTTGAATGAAACTTAATTTTTCAGGTTACTAGAAAGTGATCTTGCTTTTTTCTGCTGTGTGTTCAAGATCTTTAAGCATATCTATTCACTTTTGTATTTTGTTGTCCCCTCGCCAACCAACATAATATGTTTCTATCTAATCAGTTTTGATAAAATTAGAAGGAAAAAAATTGCTTTGATATATTTGGCTTTGATCAAAATGCTAGCTTAATATCAAATGACTGAAAGAAAAGCAATCCCAGAGGCTGGTACATTTCTTACTGACTAGTTGAAATTCTCCACTTAATTCTTCAGTCATAAATTTGCCTATATGTTGCTTTTTTGTTAGGTGACCCATGTACCATCTCATCTCAGATGGAACTGGAAGAAGCCTTCCGTTTGTATTGTCAAAACAGAGACGAAGGGCTGATTATTCATGGCAAGTATTACACAGTTCAAGAACCTGCATGCATTTGTTGATAATCCTAACAGCTTCTTAAATGTGAGACTGGAACAACTCCTTTGCCTGTCAAATAACCTGCTTATTTACGTACCTGGTGCCCTATTGTTTGATGCTGTAAGAAGGAACGTGTTCTTTTGGGGGTGGAGCCCCAAGCTGAAACTACAGTAAGCTTTGGGGGGGCTTCAGGTTCTAAACTGCACAGATTTGTTAATGCTGTAGTCAAGTATGAGATCTTGCCAGTATGGACCCGAATTTTGATTATGTTATTTCTCATGCAGAATTACTTAAAGGCTTCCAGAAACTGTCTTTGTGTAAATATATTCAAGAATCAAGGAAAAAGAACTACTGAGAATCTTTTCACTTAAAATCTAATGTTTTTGTTTTAGTTTTCCCAAGTATTCCAGAGAAACCCGGCATGCCTTGTCCAGGAGAAGACAGTGAGTACTAAAATGTTATCAAACTTTAGCTTAGTTTTTTCAGTCACATGGAAAAGAAACATATTGAAAGATTTTCATAAGCTAGTGTTAAATATATGTATATCTGTTTTGTGGTTTCTTAATAGAATGTAAAATGTTCGCTATTTTATCAACAGAGAAATTATATAAATCAACATTGTAGTACTGTTTTTATGTTTCTGAGGACTAATACTGGTTTCCAGTAGCTGATACGTTGGGAGGAAAAGAGGTCAAGATTTTAGATGCATATTTGAACATTGTCCTTTGCTTTTGTGGTTCTTTTGGTTTCTTAACTTGCAGGGAAAAGAAGTGATGTACTGAAAAAGAAGATACAGCCTTTTTTTATGAAAAGGTTATTAACCTCTTAAAAAAAAAAAATCCTGTGAAAGGTAGATAAACCTCCAGAGGAAGCATACATGATTGATATGGTTTACCTATATTTCAGTAACTTAAACTGCACAGGAATAAAAGGATTAAATAGCTGTATAGTCACTTTTCATTATGGAGGGATGTCATCAGTACATTAGTTCATATCTCTGTAAATGTTAAGGAAAGGAATGTGAATAATTGGGTGACAGTTACCAGGCAATGCTTGGCCTGTCACAGTAGTATGAGTAAAAGCGAACTGAAGAATTGAAGGACCTTTTCTCTTCTCTTTGGAAGATACAAGAGCAGATAATAGTAATTGCTGATAAAAGCAAATAATGCATACTGGGAGAAGACTACTTAGTTGATCAGGATCTACACTGACAAACTGGCTAAAAATGTGTAGTGCAGTGGTCAGTAGTTGTGAATAATATTTTTAGTTGGAGAAATAATACTAATATGCTAATAATTGCTCTATTGAGAACTTTTACTGAAATTTAGAAGATGGAGTGAGATGGAATAAATACCAAAATATTACAGTTCAAATATGATTTTTTTTACATGTAAGCTACAGTAGATGAAAGGTTAAATGTGAAAAGCAGACAAGTTTTCATGTTGTGACTAGGTTCTTAAAGTTGCCTTATAGAAAGAAAAAAGAGTAAATGTGCAATGCTATCTGCTGTCCTTGTTCAGCCAATTAGAGAAAATAAAGACCATTTTCTACACTGAAGTGTTAAGGAAATGATTTTCCTTGAGACATTCCACTTTTGTTTTTTTTTTCTTTTTTAGAAGGAAAAAGAAGTTTATTTTTAGGACGAGCCGAGCAATCATTTGTGTAGCTGTTTCCAATATACTATTTTCCTTACATCTGAGGGGTTTTTTGTGCCTTGTTTAATGTTCTGGTTTGTGTACTTTCTTGTATCTATCAAAATAGTAGCTCAGTGGGTTTCTTATTAATTTTGCTGAAGTTTCAACAAGGAAATGGACAACCAGTCCATCTTGTTATATCACATAATGTACAGTACTTCTACTGAATGTGCAAGCAAATAAGACTGAATTTCAATACTTGCTTGTCCATGAGTTCAAATTCAAGTGAAGACTGTGTAGTTTATTTTACTCTATGTTGAAAATCTGTGGGCTTTACTATGCTGTCGCTTTCCAACTTAGCTTAATAGGTTGAAAATATCTATGGGAAAATATTTTCAGGCTCAATTTTCATGATCATTCTGGAAAGAGTGGTCTTAGTTCTGTAGATTTAAATATGTTCTTGATGTGAATTGTATACAAGGAACACTGCTTTACTCTGGGGCCTGAGGTATAGAAGGTGTTAGGTCCTAAAGCGAATGCTTTAGGATGTCTGGGTAGTTCAGTGTCTTGTGGGCCTTTGACTTTTGTGAGAATGACAGTAAAAGAGAAGGCGATGGATTTGGGGATTAGCTAGCCTTAGGATGCTTGCAATGCTCTACCAGGGCAGATGTTGCCAAAGGTAAATGTAAGTGTTAATACTCCATCATAAGTCTTTTGACTGTGTTCTGTGAAACAACTGTCTTTCAGTGAAGACAGAACGGTTGATTTTATTTAAACTTCTAACTTTGGGGTGCCTCCCACCCTTAATTCTGCAACTAAGAATGGAACAACCAAGTCTGGCATCACTACAGTATTCAGAGCTATTTCACAATGTGCTGAAATCTATTTTGTTTTCTCTTTCTATCTTGCTTCTAACTTGTTGGATGAAAATCGTAGGGAGTGAACTCATGGGCATCTGTGCCACTCTGCTTTCCCAATATAAGCACGGAAAGAACCGGCTGACTGTAGCTCTGCTTCCATTCCCATAGATGTTTGAAAAGGGAAGGAGGAAATACTTGTGTTATACCAACCTAGGCTGATGCTAGTCCCAAATGGAATTATTTGCCCTTAGTTGTGAAAACACAAAGCAAACTAATATGAAATACTGTCAAGAAAAGTAAGCTAACTGGAGGAGAGAAGAGGCTGTTGCTTAAAGAGGTATAATGTGGCATAATAAAGTTCACTGCAGTTTAATGATCTCATTAAAAGTGTAGATATTTTAGTACAAAAGTTTTTTGTGTTAATTTGTTAGGTGTGTTAGTTATCTCAAGGCATGAGATGAACTACAGAAGCACATAGATTAGTGTGGCTCAGATGACCTGGTTATTCTGTCTGTAGGGTATTTCTCCCTGCGTGGTTTTACAGGTCGTGTTGAATCACACTTTGATTGTTTAAAAATCCTGTTTAGTAGGATGTGCTCAGTAAGTGATTTGTGGTCAGGTTTCTTGTAATTCAATGAATTAATTCAGTGCCTACTGCCTCTTTGCATCCATGAGGCCTGCATGGAAATCTGCTATTGTGGCCTAGTTGTAACTATTTTCAAATTGTTTTACAACAGACCTATTAAATTGTATTGGTGCTAATTTAGCATAAACTAATGCATTCAGCGTTATTGCTTCTTAGCTGAAGGCATACAACAAACATCTGCATTGCACTTAGACTGGATGGAAATGTTACTGATAGTGGTGATATAGTTTATTTAATGGACTCTTTATTTTGACAGGACTAAAATATTGCCCTTTATTCAGAAAGTATTTGGTATGTTTCAAATTCTTGTTTTATGTGGCTTTATCACTGTAGTCACATTCATAGGAAATCCTTTTAAAAAATGAGAATATTACATGTGTGCTTTTCTAGAGCATCACGCTTACGCTCTAAAGGAGCGTATGAGTTTGCCTCCAGTTGTTTCCAGAGACGAATAAACAGTTAACTAGGCGCTCAGTCCAAGATGGGCCTCTACTTAAATTAGCAGTCCATAAGTGTGGAGTTCTAGTTTGCTATAGAACTGCAGAGTTTGAAATGGAATTTTTAAACAAAACTATTGAATTGCTAAATTTCATTTGCAATGTATTGCTCAGACTTGTTCATATTAGGTCATGGAATGGCTATTTCTAATAGTACATGATCTTCTGAATTGCAAATATTTTGCAATGAATTTCTGTAGAACTGTAGGGTTTTCTTCCAAAGCATTGAAGTAACTGGAAAGAACAGTGCAGAAATAAATACTGAATGTTTCACGTTTGTGTTGAGATCTAATAATATAATTGGTAGCTGTCCTGGACCTTTGTGAAATTGATATGGGTTTGAGATTGTACCAGCAAAGCTTGAAATAAATACACGAAATCCATTAATGGAATAAACCATGTGACTAATATTTCAATTCTATTTGCATCCCTTAAAGTTCTTTTCGTGCGTGAAGAGCCTACCTTCTTAAATTGATGCGATGGTCTCTGCAAGATAGACTTTGCACAGTCTCCAGCATCTGAACTTGTATTGCCTCTGTATTGTTTTTGCTCTTGAATTTTGCACTTTTTTTTTGTGCCAGACCCAGCTCCTGCTGTAAATATAAGGCTGCTGTTGTAGAAACAGTACCTTTTACCTTCAGCAAGACAGCTGACCCATCGCCACAGACTGGAGCGGCAGCGCTGCGATGTGGACGAGGTGGCAGGATTTCTAAAACATCTTGCGTCTCTTCCCAGATACTGAATGTGACCTCTCGTAGGCGTTTCCAGCATCTGCTGGTCTGCAGCCTTGGATACTTTATCGCAATGTTTCCTGATAAAGATGACAGACTTTTAGGCCAGTTTCTTGTATTTAAAAATATTTTTACCTTTTTAGTAGATTGGCTATTCTTTTGGAGTTGGTATTAAACAAATTGTTTCTGAAATGTTTAGGTGGGTATTTCTCTTCTGTGCTTGTAAGTGATAGCTTTCCTCATAGCCTGATACAAAGCGTGGTATCTGATTGGCAGTTTTATAACTTAGTTATTGTAGCCTCAGCTTATTTACACTGACAGATCTTGATCTGATTTATCGCCCTTGGTGCTGCAGTGCATTGTATAACAAAGCATGTTCAGCTGAACAATTTCTGTCGATTTGTAGGACTTCCCTAACGGAATTGCCAGTTTTATCAGAGAAATACTTGTTTTTGTGACATCAGCTCCTTGACATCCATGCCATGTTTTAGTTTGTGCCTCAGCTGCTAGCTACAGCCTCTCAAGGGAGCCAGTACCACCCGTGCCTGGATACATGAGGCAGAGATGTGAAAGGGAGAGACGGGGGTAACCAGTCTTCCATTAAATATTTGCTCTTAATGTTCGAGCTGATCCTGCCTATTGTCCTTGGTATCTAATGGTATTCAAACAGCGGCATCAGTGGAATAAAGGGAAAATGTTTCGTTTCATACCTACTACGTTGTAAAGCATAAAGAATTACATGCTGAAGAAGCTAAAGAATAAAACCCAGTGAGTAATGCATGCTTTTTCTGTAGATTTTATGTATCATCATTGTGATTGCTGTTATGAATTGAGGCCATTGATGCAGTATGTGTGTACGTGTGGTGCAGTAGATAATAGAACTCAGCATTTTGGTTATGATACAGTTGCTTTGCCTGCCACCCTCCCTTGCAGCCATAGATTGTTACAAATGCAGAG